GGACAGACTCACCTCTCGCCCAACGATCCCATCTTCGTCCTGCTGCACACGTTCACCGATGCAATCTTCGACGAGTGGCTCGGCAGGCACCAACCAGGTATGCTCAGACTGAGCCGGATGCGGGAACAAACTCAGAAGAATATATAGATGAGCCCATTTGTTCTATTCCTGCAGGTGAAGTGGTGTACCCCGAGGAGAACGCTCCTATCGGGCACAACCGCAGATTCAACATGGTTCCATTTTGGCCCCCCGTCACCAACGCTGAGATGTTCGTCTCTGCCCCGCAAAACCTGGGATACTCCTATGAGGTCCAGTGGCCAGGTGAGTAACGGCACATTGGTGCACAAATCCCAATGACCCCTCATGACCCCCCTCCTCTCCTCACCCCGCAGTTCGTGCCTACACCCTGTCTGAGATCATCACCATAGCCATCGTTGCGGCCGTGCTGGTGGTGGCGGTGGTGGGCGGCGTCATCGCCTGCGCCGTGCGCGCCCGCTCCTACCGCTCGGCCGAGGCCCTGGAGCCACTGCTGGGAGAGACGTTCCGGCGCTACTCGGAGGACGACCGGAGGCTGGACAAATCACAGTCTGTCGTCTAAATCCACGCCTTTTCCAGAGAGGCCTTAACATTTTCACGTGTTCTTTTTTTGTTTTTTTTTTCTTACTTCTTCTAATAAAGTCGAGCTGGTTTTGAACCCTGAGTCTGTGTGTCTGTCATTGTATTTGGTATAAATTGTTGGCAGAGTCTGCTGTTGGTAAGTACACACTATAGGGGACTATTTCTCCCCTATAGTGTCCATTTATCAGCTCCCAATTACGTGTATTCATGCAGACAATGTTCATCTATCTGTAAGATGAATGGCAACAGTCCTAATGGGTTTGATGTTCCATTCATTGTGCATTTAATCTGAGCCCATTGCCGTGTGAATAATATGCCCTGGTGTACGATATGAACAGACTACAGACGGGTCTTAATATAGAGGCCTTTACTGCAGGCGCAAATGTGCTTGTCTGAGGCCTGGAGGCCCACCAGCAAACCACTTGGATGTAATGTTGAGTCTCAGCGATGAGTCAGATCAATGTCATCATGTCTTCATAGGAGCACACACACCGCCCTCATGTGGATGTAACACATTACTGCTGCAGTATGAGTCATGTGCTTGTAACCCTCTAAAAACCCAAGCATTGATTTTATTGATGCAGAATTTTTTTGACTTTAGCACATATAAGTACCACCACTTTAATCTTAATAAAGTCCATACATTTTTTAGGCATGTGTGTAAAAATTTTAAAGACATGAAACTGTGGGATGCAACACAATTAAAAACAAATACAAATGTAATCGAAGCCAATCAGTTATTTCTTAAATACTTAAACCAGCCCGGCACTTCAATGAGCACCACGTTCAAAGTCACCTCCATCGCCTTTCTTCAGCCATTCTGACGCTTGTCTGCCAACCCTACACAGTATATAGGGTTAACTGTTGACCTTAACCCTATAGCGCACTTATGAATCTACTGTATTTAAACACTGTTGCCGTAGATGGCTCAATTGATGAATTCAGTGTTCCGTGAGAGATCGTCAGGTGTGCCGTAGGAAATTTCACTTAATCGGTCCAAAGAAATATTATTTAGTTGCTGCAAATAATTTGCGCGTCTGAACCTGCAAGAGAGTGGCTGGCTAAGTAACTAATTACTCTTCCATGCCAGTGGGTGGCAGTAGGTAGCGCAATAATGACCTTCATTTAAGACAGTAGAATTAAATGATGTGCGGGAGAGGTTGCGGTGACAAGACGAACAGCGATGGAGAAATATGTAGACTCTGAACTGGGCCCTGGACAAAAGTCTAACCCAGATGAAAAGCCGAGTATGAGTGGTGGTCAAAAGAAAGAAAAAACTGTGAGCTCGAGGCAATACAGCGAAAGTTATCTTTCATTTGGATTTACTTTCACCGGGGATCCGACTGCACCGACTCCGTTATGCTTGGTGCAGTCCATCAGTGCCATGGTCCCCAAGCAAGCTTAAACTTCATCTCCAAACGAAAACACCCGTCACTTCAAAACAAGAACACGGACTATTTGTCATTTGGTAACTTTTTTGGTTGTCGGTGTGCCGCTGGATCTTTTTAATGTAAAAAATGTACATGGCTCAGAAAAGGTTGAAACACACTGTCTTAGTGTATGGTTATTATCCCGCCCAAAAATGCTGAGATGACAGCTAGTCTGAGGGTGTTGGGATATGTAGTGTTTGTCTACATTCAGATCGGGACAGGTACTACTGGACAGTTTTAAATAGATGCTGCAGCTACCATTGATCATTTAGGGGGCTGAGGTTTACCTTTCACTATCTAAAGTTGCACTCTCAGTTTTGAAATGGGAGATTTTTTAAATCAGTGTCTTAAATTTGACCAGTAAAAAAACAACAATGACTTACATTAACAAATAGAACAATTTAACAGCAGGCTAGTGAACAATCTTAGAAAACAGCGTTTAGATGCGGAGAATAGTTTGTGACAAACAACTGAATGAAGAATTATTGAATCAAACTGAATGAATAGCAGTTTTAAAGCTTGTAACCCGATGATGCGGCATCTCATGTCGCGCTTCTCTGCTATAAGTGCACGACGGCGTCTCATTATCTCTTGCTTCGGGCTACGCCGCTGAATAAAAAGGCGTGACACAAGCGCCGCGTGCTTCTCTGCACCAAATCTCCCACCAGTGCAGCTCATTTGCTTGTGAAATCTCCAGATTTATATTGGGGAATGACGTGGAACTGGCACCTTCTAACTGCAATGTACTGTAAGTACTGTAGACTAAGATTAGTTTTTTTGAGACTCAGCACTGGGATGAACTGCTAAGGAATGGCATTTTTTTGCAGTGCATGCTGGTATCTTGAAATAGAATCTCATGGGAATGGATGGGAAAAGAAGAAGAGACTTTCTTTTTTTTGTTGTTGTTGGGGGAGATCCACCATCAGTTGGCTGTTCTCTCTGCACCAGCAGGTTACACTGACAAAAAAAAAGACAATGCTGTGGATTTATCAATATGGGGAGAGGTGACAGTCACACACACGGAACAATCATTTGGCCGCTGCTACCCTCCCGAGAAGGAGAGAGAGAGAGAGAGAGAGGATCATTAGCGCCTTTCATGACAAGTGGTGCTCTCTCGTGGAAGTCCTCTCATTCTCAGCTGCAGGAAGAAAAAAACGCATTACAGCTTTGCAGCTTCAGTGGAGAGGCCCAGTGGAGGGTTTTATACACGATGGAGAAGAGGGTGAGAAGGGGCCAAGCGGTGGGGAAAAAAGAAGGTCCCGTTGCCAGTGGCCTGCTGGCATACTCCTCATAGACGTTTGAAGAAAAGGGAAATTTGTAAAACAAACAAACAGCAGATCAGTTTTCCTGCTTAATGAAAGATAAATAAGGGAGACGTCAATGCATCTCTGCTACTCCCACTAGAGTTGTACGAAAATCAAATGAAACCAGAAATGACAAAAATATATAGATTTGGTTTAAGATTCCAAACAAGTAGAAGATAAAATAGTTTTAAATTCACAAAAGAAGAAACCATAATATTGTTGGAAACATTCTGGTTAAATGCACCAAAAAGCATTTTTCCATCTTAAAAACCTCTTCCCACCAGCCTTCGGGCGACGCAATTGTTCATCTGGAGGAGGATGAACCAGACTGCGGTGGCTGGGTTTCAATAAAGCTTGCAATGTGAACAGATGGCTTTGATTAATGCGCAGGCACCAGACAGGAGCTCCCTAGATGCCTCCTATCTCCTAAATGAGACATTTGTGTGCAAATGTATTGTTTGTCAGGTTGTCGACAGTAAGTCCGGTAGTTAAAGTGGAAGGTCTGTGCATTTATAAAGAAACGGAACAGGTCTTCATTGGCGTTTTTCTATCTCAGGTCTGGAAGGTCTGCATCCTAGTCTGCGTCCTAACTTTAGTCTCAAACTAACTCTCCTCAGCGGTGGAAATTAACTCACATTTACTCAAATACTGTGCTTTAGTGCAATTTTGAGGTACTTGTACTTTACCTAAATATTACCATTTCCTGCTGATTTCTTCAGAGGCAAATATTGAATGATTTCTTCCCCCACTGCATTCATTTTTGATACCTTTAGTAGCTTTCCAGATTGAGATTAATGACACAAAATATAATCAACAATTAGATTATGATGAATTCACAAGCTACCCAGCAGTATGTATAGAGTCAGTACAATCAGCCCCGCCTGTATCAGCTGCAATAATACAGTGATGAACACATTAATGCATCAATAACTATAGTCCAATCATGTAAAAATACAGTATTCTGAAATTCTTCATGAGTACTTTTGCCTCTGGTACTTTAGGCATACTCTGTGTTGTTTCTACTGTCAGACATCTAACTGCCTCTCCTGTTGTCACCCACTTTGTGATTTAGTGCTGCCCTGTCACTCCATGATGTACTGCGTGACACACTCTTCACTAAACCTGAGTGATCGTGAAAATGCGCTCATGTTTGAAAAAGACAGAGAGAGAGAGAGAGAGAGAGAGAGAGAGAGAGAGAGAGAGAGAGAAAAGCACAACCACGACAATAAAACACCCCCCATGGCAAAAAATCAGCTCGCCTGTTTAGAAATAAAAAAATATGCAAAAAGGATTCCTGCATCTCTCCCTAAAGAAACGTAACCGCGGGCACAGACGTCCTCATTAGACAGTTCAGGAATCTCAAGATTATCGGGTGACTTCTTCTGTGGGATTTGGAAGTCAAACAACGTGTGATATCCACGAGCTTATCTAACTCAGTGTTATTCCAGAGAGGCGTCGCAAAGCACCATGGAGCTGCTTGTGTCACTGCAACATCAGTGAGCCGATCAACAGAAATCCTGAGCTATAAATAAAGTTCTGCGTACCAAACTCTAAACAAACGAGCATTTAATAAGATCACTCGCAGTTCAGTTAACACAACGTGACACAATCCCAAACCCTGCCCCCCCCCCCCCCAACGTGTGTGCTCCGAGTGCGGGGGCTACTGACATGAATGAAATAAAATAAATTATATATGTGGAGAACACATAAATATCACAGTACAAATTAAGTCATATAAAACAGGGGCGATGCTTTCTAAATCGAGATCGCACATTGCGCTAAAACTCCCTAAAAGATGCCCGAGCACGTTACGGATTATGAAAACCGTAATAAATCTGTGAATAAAATCCCACGGATATCTTGCGCATTAAAGACATGTAAAGAACATTGATTATTCAAGCAATCGTGACACACCTTGAACGATCAGAAGATGAAGCATGAAGGAAATTAAAAGTGAAACGGTCTTGACAGCTTATTGCCATACAAAAAGTTTGGCAGAAGCACTTGGCATGTATAGCAAATACGCGTCACACTGTGTCTCGATGCACAGGTCGGCAGAGTCAGAGGTTTTCGGGGGATGGTTATTTATTCACGAGCGTGTTTACGTGGGCAATGATGCTTATATTATAGAGACCTTGAACTGGGACAACTAGGACACAATATATAAACCAGCAGTTGGCTTATTTAATAGTTGCCTCTGGTGTTTATATCATTCTATGGTTACTATAAATACATCCTGCTTGTATTAATACAGAGATATATTCCTGATTGGGATATGAGATCCATATAACATAAACACATTAGTTCTAAATAACACCTTCACCGTGCTTGTTAACACACCCAGTTAGAGGTAGCGTCCCCTCCCCAGCTAAATTCAGATGAACACTATCTACTCTTCTCATGATTTTGCAAACTATGACTTCATCACCGGTTCGTGACAGCGGCAGTGACATTATTTGCGCCGAGGCTACTTCGCAGGAAACGTGGTTGTCGAGCGGACGCGCAAACAGGGGCCCTGTTCTCTTCAAGAGAGCACCGTCAGCACCACGGTCCCCCTGGTCTTCTTGAGGATGTCCACGGCCTCGGCGTGAGTCACGCCCTCCAGGCAGTGTCCGTTCACGGCGATGATCTGGTCCCCGCACTTCAGCCTGCCGTCCTCCACGGCCGCCCCCTGCCGGGCACACAAAGAAGCAGTCCGTCAGCGAGCGCAAAGATCAGACATCAGAAGCTGTTTCCACCGTTACATACACACGAAAGACAAAACAACTGACTGTACATACTGAGAGGAAACGCAATAACTGAGATAAAACGTCTCTCCAAATCTAATTCTGTTAAATATATCACATATAAACTAGATATTTAAAATGGATGATTGCTGGATGATTTAATAACAGCATTAATAACCGTCCTAGCCAATTGAACCAATAGAGGGAGAAACATCCTGATCATCCTGATTTGATAAGTTACAGCACATTCATATTCTCATTAGCTGTTAAAAACCTTAAAGGGACCCACAGAATCAAACATACATATTGTTCCTCTTACCTTTTTTTTCATTTACCGATCGAGCTTGTTTTGGTGTGAGTTGCTGTAGAGATGTCGGCCTTCTCTACAGTATAATGGGACTATATGGCACCCGACTTGTGGTGCTCCAAGCGCCAACAAAATTAATTTGGATAACTCAACGGCAACTTTTTAGAAATCATTACCAGGTTACTCAAAAAGAATCCACAGACTGTGTTGTGAGCAGTTTCATGTAGGAACTATTTTCTTTCAACCATAGATGAGTGCCATGCTGTCCCGTTATATTGGAGAGAAGGCAGATAACTCCAAAACTAGTCAACCCTCACCAAAACAATGTAAACTGATAGATAGCACTACAGGTAAGAGGAGAAATATGTATTTGTCCCTTTAAGCCTCATGCCGTTTACAATTGTGGATTCCAATTGTCTCTTACTGCACACGAACACGGACGCTTCTCCAGTATAACTGAACGCCACGCTGTGCCGCGATTAGATTTCCGTACCAGGAACCCCCATGAAAAGATTTCTCCCACGGCGGAAGTCCTCTCACCTTGTTGAAGACCGTTTTGATGTAGATCGGCAGGTCTCCGTGAGGGCTGCTGAACCCTCCCACGATGCTGAAGCCCAGGCCCGAGGAGCCTCTCTCCAGAGTGACGGTCTTATACATGCGAGCACTGCGGGGAATTGAAAGGATTGAAACAATGGAGGCGTGTGAAGCGCTGCGCTAGCTGTGCAGTGAAATACACTGTGTGTAAAAGTAGGAGTATCTAATCTCACCAGGACAGACAATAGGTGAGCAAAGAGAGGCAGATTTCTAATGTACTGTTTGGAAAAATGTGATGAATCCCTGAATTATTACATTTAAAAACGGAAATGTAATATTCAATAACACAGTTGCTAAACTTCCTTAAATAAGAAATTAATTAGAGTCACAAATAATTACATTTGGGTCACTTATGTACTACAACTAATATTTTCCCCATTAAAATGTCAGTTACCAGGTTGTGAAGTATAAATAGATTATGTGGTTTGATTAGCTGCCAAAAACAAACCCAGAAGCAAGAATTTGTTTCTTTTATGTTGTTTTTAACCTTTTGTCGTTTGTTTTAAGTCTGTTTTTTTGTGCTTTTATGAGGAACTTTTATGCTGCCTGTTTGGCCAGGACTTCCAGGCAAAAGAGATTTTAAATATCAATGGAAACACCCTGGAAAATGAGTAACAAATAATAAATTAAACTAAAGCTGCAAGAAGCAAAGAACAGGCCCTCGCATCTCCACGCACGTTCGGGGGTACTGGCGGGCTGCATTTATGTGAGGGTCAGACACTGCACGCATGAGTGCTGGTTGCTGGAAATTAGATACTGAAACATTTGTACAACCTCGTGTCTCGAATGTCTGGTGCTTGAGAACACACAATAATTATATGACAAAGTTACAGCTTGCTGCGTAGTGGCGAAACATGCAAATTGTCTGCCTCAACACCGTTCCATGAGAAAAACAACAACACAAAAGCTTTGAAATTTGGCGTTGTGAAGATCTTGAGATTCTTCTCACCAAATGTGAGATGGATCTGTTGGATCCTCTAGCAGGACTTTCAAAGAGGTCCACTCTGTCACGTGACCAATGACAGAACGCTGTTTGAGGTGTCGACTATTCTTTCACATTTTCGCGTCACATTAGTCGGAGGGACATACCAACCAAATTTGAAACAAAGCCGACCAACCCTCTCGGAGGAGTTTGAAGAAGTATGTTTAAAATACAGGAGAAACACACACAATGAGGAGCTTATGAAAGCCAATGTCAAGCATGTCTGAAAGGATGAGCGCAAAGTTCGTCAATATCTGAGCAACTAAGGCTGGAAATGACTCAATGCTAATTTTGTACCACTTCATGTTTCAAGGTGATGTTGCTGTAATTCATGTCCAGATCACACCAAGACCCACGTCAGATGATAAGTTTGGCGACCTGTGATGCATGTGCAAAGTTTCATTTCAGGCTGTCAGGAGACTGAATCTCACCAGAGGTTGTTGTGAAAGCGGTGCAGGCTGCTGGGTTGGCCTGACCGCGGCACGTGTACATCGTTGTGGTCTTCTGTGCTGCACCCACCGGAACCGGCAGCCACCTAGACACACACACACATACACACACACACAGTCTGACACTATCACTATCTGATATCTGAGGCCTGTCCTAATGTTAATAAAATGGAGTAAAAAATAAATAAAAACCCCTTTGATGCTTTACACACAATGTACTTGTCAAAAACAGCTGAAATCCAGCTCCTTACCAACACCTCTTATTCTCTCTTGCAACAAAAAGCTTCCCAGAGGCTCATTAACATAAAAAAAAAAATCAGTGTCAGGTTTACAAACGACAGCATCGTGCTCACATGCAAAACACTGATAATGAGTGGACGACTGAAACCATTTTCATTGCTGTTTCCATGCAGGTATAATTATGTCTGAGTGAGTTTTATAAAAAGTAATAATGACCTAGAGGGAGCACGGTATGGTTCACTGAGGAACCAGGCGTAGTGCCTCACACTGGCTTTGTAGATCTACTACCGTACGTCCCGGCGTGACGTTACCTGCAGACGGATGGTTCTGGTGGCGTTCTGCAGCAGGACTCCAGCTTGGACGCGAGTCATTCCCTCCATGGACACATCATTGATACAGAGGAGCCTGTCTCTTGCCTGACTGACACACACACACTCACTCACTTGTACTTCTACCTTTTATTGGCGAGGATATTGCTGGAGACAACCTTAAGTTGTCTTTTTATGATTTAATAAAGCCCTATTTTCTGTCTGTCTCTATTGGTATAGTCTGTACCACATATTTTGTGTTAGTACAGTATGTTTTGGAAGTGCTTCAACCCCTACATACTGTATAAGCTATGGTATGCAATTTTCAAATCCTTACAGAGACACCGTTAGTGAAACACTGGTCTTTATCCTCATCAATCTTGACCTGTAAATAAGATAATAGATATGCCGTAACAGTCACGATTCAAATCCTTACCCTCAAATCAAGTCGTTACCCTTAAATGAATTGTTTACCCAACAGTGAGGACGGACTTTTTTTGTCCACACAGGCACACACGCACGTCGCCACTCCCCACCTGTAATTGCTGTGTTTTGGCAGCCAGTCCATCGGTATCCATGGTAGCAATAAAAAGAGGCACGTTGTCATGGGGACTGCCCGCTCCTCCTGCTACACTGATGCCCAGGGAGTCACATGCACCCTGTGGTGATATCACACACACACACACACACACACACACACACACACACACACACACACACACACACACAGACAGATGGACAGTAGACCCTGTTAGACAATACCGGTGAATCACATGTCAGAGTCTGCACAAGAGATAAACACCCAATGTTATGCAAGTCTGGGGTCCAGCCAGGTTTGTGTGTATATATACACACAAATATATATATATATACAGTATATATATATATATATATATACAGTACACACATATATATATATATATATATATAGATAGATAGATAGATAGATAGATAGATAGATAGATAGATAGATAGATATACATATATACTCACAACGAAATACAGATATAGGAAGATATACATACAAATATTGAAGTAATAAATACTATATCAAATAAATAACAAGTGAACACATTACTTTTTCATGCCTTACCTTTTGTATTATTACTTGTTTGGCGTCAGGGTACTCTTGAAAGGCTGTGTGAGGAGAACGAGATATAGATTTGAGTAATTAGCTCGAAGATGTTAACAGCATTATTTCCACATCAATATATATATATATATATATATATATATATACAGTATGTATTCATTGTATTTGCATTTGCACAGGAGGGCGACTCACAGTAGCTCCCCGTCTTCTTATCTGTCTCCCTCTGGTGGCCGAGCGAAGCATCGCAGCCGCTTGAGTGGGTCAGGGTGGAGCAGTCGGAGTCTTCGCTCTGGATAAAACACAACTTAAAGTAGTCCTAGGTTCACAAAGTGCCGTTGTTAAAATCGTGCAAAGGAGTAGTAGTTGACAACAATGAGTTTACTGAGCTGGACTCTTAATTCAAATCATAGCGTGATAAAAAAAACAAACATAAATTCACCACACATCTTTCCATTTTCTTTGATGGCCTGTGATGGATGAGACACAGACAGCTTACCTGGCTCTGGTGTGAGTACTGCAGCCCAGCTTTAAAACGAGCCACCTCCAGGTGGACTGCTCCACTGCAGCTCTGAGAGCAAAGTCACAGATTAGATCTCACATAAGACAGTGAATCTGATTAAAAAAACTTGTTTATGGTCTTGGGTTTTGTGTGAGCGTGACAGCCGTCTGACCTGCAGAAGCTCGTGCACGTGTTCCTGCGAGGCCGCGCGGACATCCTCCCCGTTGATTGACAGAATCTGGTCGCCAAGCAACAACCTGCCATCCAAATCCGCTACGCCTCCTCTGATGAGATCTGACACAAAGATGCCCGTGTCATTACTGTTGAGAGAAAACTGAGGTCAAAAACCGTGTCTGTTCCGCCCCCGCGGACCGAATTACGTGACCTGTGCGCCTGCTGTTCTGCATAACGTCACACTTGATTGTGCAAATTATGTGTCCTTCACCTTATTTTATTTATTTTCACAATAACGTAAGAGTCCCCGACCTCTAACTGGGTAAAGGCCTCAGAAGTCTCCTCATCTGAAACGCAACTTCAGACCCTAGGACCTTCAACGTGAAAAAACACTTGACAAGACTCTAATTTATGGTTGATAATTATTTTTCAATTATACCATGTCAATTAATAAAAGAGTAAACATCGCTGTTTCAAAAAAGACATTGAAAAGAGTAAATAATATCATCCGATACTACAGCAAAATGAAAAATAAATTGCAAATATGACTTTTGGATGTCCTTTCAAAGTCCATTTGATATGTAGAAATGAAGAACTCTCTCTCTTCATTCTCCTGTCTGTGAGAATGATGTTCTTCCTGATTGTTTGTGTCGCTTGTCCTCTCGTCCTCTGTCCTCCAGGTTACTTGGTGTAGAGGAGGTTGTGTGGCTTTCACTGTTTGTGCACACATTGTAAAAGGTCAATATTGTATAACCTTGTAAATTTAATCTTATATTCTGTTTTTAAGTTTACTTTGTAACATCTGTCTCTTGGGACTAGATGAAAAATAGCCTCTTGGCTAACTCTGGCATATTTACACCAATAAATAAATGATGTTGGTTACACATGACATCTATTGCATATCTGTCTGTCCTCCTCAGTTGGTGTCCCTGAGGTTTCTTCCATTTTATTTTTGTGAGGGGCAAAAACAAACGACAGAGGGTGTTGTATGTGATATAGATTGAAAAGCTCCTAGAGGCAAATTTGTGATATTGGGCTATATGAATAAAATAGACTTGACATAAATTACTTTTACATTAGGAAGATAATGCATTAAACTCACATATACAGCCTGCAAAAATGTGGTTAGCTTTAAAGCAAGTGTTCCTTTTCACTGACACATCAATATGAACCCTTCCTGTTTAAGTCTAACTGTTTAGAGTTTGCTGACTATTCAAAATGCATTGCAACATTCTAGCAATACAACTAAGGGACCAACTAACTTAACCTAACTTGAAAGTGGATTCTGGTTCAATTTGAGGTGAGAAAAAAGCCATTCATGTGATTAATCACTTCCTTTTTTTAATATAGTGGCATAATTCTGCAACTGCATGGCCTACTTTATTTCTCACCTATTACTCATTTTCACAAGGTGCAAGATTACACTGCTTGTAGATGTCGTCATCAACCCCCTTTCATTGGTTTGGCTTACGGTTGCCAGGCAAATTCTCTGGGACTGCTTTCGTCTGGCTTTAGGAGGCTACGTCTAGAATCAGATCCACAATTTGACCTACAGTACCAGTCAAATTTGGTCCGACGTACGTACCTGAAGATACAAAATAATTTGACTCTTCCTCACTTGTCACAACAACATTCTGAAAATACCTCTTCCCCACAGTGGCGAACCCTAGCCCCTCTCCAGGACGAGGCCTCAGCTCCAGGCTGAAGACGTCCCACAGGTCCTCCTCCCTGTAGGCCTCCTGGTGCCTGAAGACGCACAGGCGGACGCGCTGGGTGGTGAGCCGCAGCACGCCGATGGCCTCGTCGTGAGTGGCCTGCCGCAGGTCTATGCCGTTGACCTGGGAGGAGGTGAAAGAGACGCAAGCCGTCGTTGAACGGAGGAGGTCGGGAGAAACTGTATTAATGTAGCGCAACCAGCGGCTGGATCTTAGGGACGACTAATAACAAGGAGTGCGTTATTGTGCATCTTGCTTTTTTTGGAACCAGAAGTGAGCTAAGTACAACGAAATGCTGATTAAGACATTTTTAGGTCAACCAAAATGTTACAATCAACTTTCATGAACTAACAACAGACTGTGAACGGGTTAAAAAGTTCTAAGACGAAAACACGGACAACTCCCAGACCGGACGATGCCGATCATAATGACCTGTCAATCACAAGGTAGCCCCATTGTTGCTTTAGTCGTCCCCTCAGCGTCACATTGTCTCATGTCTGGATTTCTTAACTCGACTCTTCAATGGCATCAATTAGAACATCTTGCAAAAGTACCGTAGTTTTCAATTAGACGACTGGCTAACACTGGCACATTTACAGAAATGTTAACGAATGTGTCCTGACAAATAATTAAATAATAAATGATATAATAGCGTCAGAATTTGGAAAGACATGGCATTCACTGGACAGTGATGGAAAGAAAGATACAATACTTGATTTTCATTTTGAACACTAAAATTAAATAATCAAATTTGACCAACATTTTATTGTGCCGCATTATGTTTTATGATATAACTCTAGTGGAATGCAGTCTAATCACAGCATATTTAGATGAATAGATAATGGTAGGTTTTGTGTGTTACCTCTAATATGTGGTCTCCAGCCTGCAGCCTCCCATCTCTCTGTGCTGCTCCTCCATCGTTTACTTCATGGATTATTACTGCCCCCTAGTGGGGGGGAAACAGAAGACACCTATTCTTGCAGATAATCCAATCCAACTAAATTAAATCAGCACTGAACTGCTTAGTATATTCACAATACAGCGTCATCACTTTCACTGACAATGCCTGTGCAGATGCATTGTACTGTGATGAAAACATACACAGACCTTTTTGGCCTCATCATTTAGGATTATCAAGTTGTTAGAATATTCTGACTGATTGTGCGTTAAATGAAATGTTGATACAAATCAGCCTCCCTCACCAGCAGAGTGTCACATCCTCCGACGATGCTGAGGCCCAGGCCTACATTTCCTTTGCAAAACTCTATGGTGGTTTCCCCGCCAGCCACAACTGGGCAAAGCAGGGGGTCGGACGTGGTGGGAGCCGATCCCAGCCAATCAGAACACCCGACGGGAGAGGTCCGCGCAGCATTGAACGGCGGGGGAGGGGAGGGCACCGGGAGGGAGGCGGGAGTGAGAGAGCGGGGACGGGAAAGAGGTGGAGAAGAGGAGGAGGAGGAGGGACTGTTGGAGAGGTCGACGGTGACCCGCTGCTCCAGAATCAAACTGGACACCTGGATGCAGAGAAGACAGGCGAGTCATACATCATTATATCAGCTTGATATAATGGCCCCGACATGAAAGCTTATTAGCAGATGACGACATCACGTTAAAACACGGCAACCATTACCTCTCGGATACTATGGTTTCAGTTTCACCCAGAAATACCAAGAGACCAGAGGAATGTACAGCTGCGTGTTAATGTGCTGCACATTGATGGCTTGTTTTCCTGAACGATTATTGATTGTTGAAAAAGCTACAGTCAGGCCATTGAGGCTTGATAGATGAAGAAAATATTTCGGAAATATATTTTGGACTCTTTTTTGAGGTTACGATAAAAATGCAGTGGTGAAATGTAACAAAGCACATTTACTCAACTACTTGTACTTTGCTGGAGTACTTTATACTTCAACTCAGCGAGAGCTGAGACACAAATATTGTACTTTTCACTCCGTTACCTTCTTTGACAGATATAGTATTTTGGACACACAACATATGACCGGCTTATTAAATAGGATGCACTGATGCAGATTATACTACACAACAAATTGATAAAGTTGTTTCAAATTGTCTTTACATGGTTAAATGGCTAAACCATGTAAATCTGCATCAGTTATATTAATAATCCGATAATATAACATAGAGCTCTGACAGGGGCCACTCTATTGCATATTCATAATAAATGGCATTGAACTGGTTGAGATACAGTCATAGTATGTAGGCCACATGAAAATAAAAAGGTTATCAATGAGGATGTCGAAGGTTGTGATGATGCCGCTGGCGATGTCACACCTTACTGGCAGTGCCGTGCTGGGTCAGGGACCGGACCACCGCTCCGTCCTTGGACTCCCCCTCTGCCAGGCAGGGGCCGAGACCTGTGTGATCCTGGAGGTAAAAAAAGAAATAAAAAAGCAGACAAAAATCTCTAACTTTGAAATCATATTTACAACAATATGGCAGGTCATTGTTATTTACTGCAGAAGGTATTGCACCTGAGGTAGGATCACGTGCTGGACGTCTCTGGTTAACCCCCCGCGCTCTGCTGCATCCGTCCGGGAGTCGACCGTGTCCTCGCTCGCCGCCGTGGATCCCGTCTGACCCAGAGCTGCTTTATTCCTATTGGAAAAAAAAAAAAACTGTTTAGTTGAAGTTTGGTGGAGAAATGCAAACGAAAAAATAAAATAAAATCACTCTGCGCGTTTACCTGATGAGGATTATCTTGACTTTAGACGGAGCGTTGTTGATGATGGTGGAGGCGTTTTGGTGACTCCGGCCGTACAAGATCTGACCGTTGATCTGGAAGAAGAATCACACATCGTGTACCGTCTCCTTTATCTCCCCCCCCCCTTGATTTTCCTCATCAACTCTAATACGTGGCTGCTCATCAAGAGAATCCACCCCAGCACCCACCAATCCTTCAAATGGTAATTCGTCTGATAAATCTACAGCGCAGGCACTCAACGCTCTCTACTGACCCGTGACTCCCACCCACAACCCAGTGCTCTCTTTCTGCTGCTCTCAATTGTGACTCCAACCCTTCTTGCCCCCCCCCCCATCTGTTAATCTCAACCCCTCCCCTTCCTGTCCCTTCTTTCACTTCCTCTCCGTACCTCCAGCAGCTCGTCCCCGACACGTATCCTCCCGTCCAAACCGGCGGGTCCCCAGGGGTCTACGTCCGCCACGTGGACGCTCATGCGGGCCCTGGAGCCGTCCTTGTTGCCCAAGAGGCCGATCCCCAGGCCGCGAGCCACGGGGCCCTTCTCCAGCTCGATCATGTGGAGCTTCCCGGACAGGCTGCCGTAACGCTGGAGCATCTTTTCTATAAAAGAGAGACGAGAGTTAACAAGGAGAAAAATGTTTAAAAAAAAGCATTGTCACATAGACTGCCTCAAACGTATACCTGTGGAGCTTTTGACCACTATGGACCTATATTGTATGAGCATGTTTCACATTCCTGCCAGCAGTTTTCATACCACTTCATTGATTTGTAAAGATTCAGCGACATTGCCGACAATAGCAGCGCAGAAGGTGATGTGGACACAGCTGCTGTTAGAATGTTTTACGAGGGAAGGAGCGTACGCGACACATTTGGTAAGAACCTTGAGGATACGCGCAACGCATTGCGAAGAGCAAAACCGAATGTGTGTTTACAAGAAAACTCCACAGTCCACACATTTTAATGCTACAGGTACATAAAGCAAAGCCAAGGCGGAGGGCAGGGTGGCGGAGCTGTGAATGGATCTGAATAGCAAGAGGAAGCGCCTTGCTGGAACGACCCTCACTCGCTCCAAAATTGAATGAAAACCTCTTCCAAATAACGGACCTTGAAAACGTGTTCACAAATTGTGATCATTCAAAGAGTGATTTCTGAATGTGTGTTAGACTCCTGATAGTTTTATTTATTTTCTTTTGTAATGTAAGTATGTAGTTTCTCTGAGTGCATCACACGGCCTTCACTGCGTAAAAGTGGGCCCCGACACTAAAATCGCCAAGCTACAACTTTTCCTGTGGGGAGGAGTGAGGGGGGCTTTAAAGGAACCCTGTGTTGAGTGTGAGAGAAGTCTTTTATGATGCAGACTTACTCCTGCCGATGTCGCCCTCGCTCTCAGCCGCCGCCGTGACTGGTGCCGCAACGGTCGCGGGGTTCCTCCGATCCGTTCCGTCGGATGTCGGCGAAGGCACCTTAGGAGAAGCTTTGCATTATTGAACAAGGCAGAGTTGGAGATGCCTGAACGAGCCTCGGGGGTAGTCCAACTCGTGCCCGGTGGGACCCCCCCCTCCCCCCTCCCCCGAGGCTCGTTCAGTGTATCTTCGGTGAAGAAAAAAAAAATGCCGGAACAGGATGAATTAATGAACACAGTTGTTAATGTTGGCTAAAAATAACATGAAAGATGACCGGAATCATGCATTATTTTGTAACCGATTTACAAGCGCATGGGAACAAAACTTCAAAAGAACGCGCCGTCTATTTGGAGAGTTAGCATCTCCACCAAAGGAGGAAAACAAAAGGGTTTAAGCAAACAAGGTTGCTGCGAGGGACTTTGAACTGCAAGCGTTCTATCTACAAGTATGCACGTTAATTACTTTTTTTGGAAGTTGGCTTGGCAAAAAATGCTAATAGAAAGGCTGCTTTTAAGATGTTACACACACACACACACACACAGTAATGTACCAACCTTAAAGGGCGCGGGAGTGAAGGGGTTTGTAGGGGAGAGGGTGAGGAACAGACTGAGAGGCTCTGCCTTCTACGATCAGGAAGGGAGACAGATATAGTTCCATACGCATCACCAACAAAACAGCATTCTACCCCTCAAAAGAAAACATCATTCTTTTTGGAATACCATGTAGGTGTTAATGACTCATCATATATATATATACTAGTGTATACATAACATTCTCTCTCTACACGACAGCCATACAAAGCCAAACATCAGTAACAGTGTGGGAACAGAAACTGAGGGGAAATGATTTCACAGCTTGTCATCTGTTCCAGTGAAATCTAAAGTCACGACATTCAAAACTGATTTCTTTTTTTTTAGACTTTGTAGGGCGGACAAACAGCATATCCTTTTTTTTTTTTTTTTTTACACAATACCATGTATTTATACTACATTTATACGTGTGAAGATCAAAGTATTACCTTGCCGCTGTGCGAGTTCGACTGTGGCGTCGGAGTTAGTCTCCCGTGGTTGGCGAGCATAGGGGACTGTGGGCGGGAGAAAAAAACAGGAGACGCGGAGAGGGAAGGTGAACGTCTGTACGACTGTGGAACACACTGCAGATGCTTCAAATGGCGCTTCCGATATTGCGATGTGTACACCGTGTGCTAAATATGTTTTCAGTCGGAGCATATGCTTTGTGTCCGGAGGAATTCATACTGTAATGCAACAAAACTCCTACGAACACCGCTGAAATTCTGCCGAGAGTTCTCCCTCACCTCTGTGAGTGCTGAGACTCGGACGCAAATGCTACGCAAGGTAATGTATGCATACCTAAATATACACTGCAAAGTGATTTTCTAAGACAGTAGAAATGTGCTATTTTGTTGTTGTTGTTTTGTTATTTCTTTTTTGAGATGCAATACCTGAGGTCTGTGTTGTCCCGACTGGACCAAGAAGACCACGGAGTCTCCAGCCCTGCGGATGGCCTCCACCGCCTGCTCATGGCTGGCATCTCTCAGGTCCACGCCGCACACCTTGGACGGGTCAACACACACACACAGCAAATACTGAACAAAAAGACGATATGTGTAATTACCTGAGAAATAAAGAAGTCGCGATGATGATAGTCCTGTAAATCCCATTAGGCCTTAACCCTTAGAGACCCACATAGACCTGTATTTGTCCTTTTTAGGGGGAGTCAGACGATCGTTAGCAGGTCAATGGAAGACACCACATAGAAGAGGTGAAAAATGGGATCCATCAGATGCAACTCCACAGCGTGCGTCAAGTTGTTCTAGTTATAAATCGGCAAAGAAAATGTTAAAAATGAATTAATTCAAATGAAGTGTGAAACTGTAAAAGGGCTTAGAACATTTTGATGGGAGTATATGATCACTCCCATCGTTACTTTACCATTTACCAGTTGTTACACCGATTTGGTGCTAAATTGAAAAAAACATTTTTACCACTGAAGAATTGATAAAAAACACTATCAAAAACATCTCCAAAACACTACATCAAATCACCAAGACCTTGAGGAACATCATAGAAAAAGTCGTGCTGTTATGTGGTTTCAAAAGCTTTTGACATTCGGAGATTTCTGCAAGAATTGCATTGGAAGGAGAGTGCTTCTGCTTCTGCTCTGAATAGTATTCAGCCCTCTGTGTGTGCGTGTGGCATGGAGGGGCATATTTGCATTATATTTTGCAAGCCCTGTACTGTACAATAACAATAAAGCTGAACCTTGGCCCGACATAGATGGAGGGTTGGAGTGAATAGAAGGTTTTCTGGTTATACCAGGTTATTGCACGAGCAGCCACAAAACATGCAGACAATCTCTTTGTCATCATTTTTCAGTCTCTTAACCACTCACAGACTCTCTCTCTCTCTCTCTCTCTCTCTCTCTCTCTCTCTCTCTATATATATATATATAT